GTATCATGTTCATGTTGTCGTTTATGTCCGTCCCATATTTTATGTCACTTTTCTTTTTTGAAAAATGATTACACACTTTAATCACATTTTAAATTTTTAAATTTATTTTTTTTAATTTTAATTAAACTAATTAGTTATCTTAATCTTAATTTATAATTATTTATATTATAGGATAATTTTTTTCACTGATACATTCTTAATTATCTACTAATCACGTCCCTCCTAAAATACCGTGTCTACAGTATAGCAGACACGGTATACGGGAACGAGGGATTATTATTTATGTTCAAAGGAGAAATCAGAAGTTAGCAAGAGGGGGGCTAATTTTCTAAAATCGAAAATAATGCAGCTATATTAATTTATACGTATAAAAATATATATATTTATTTATTTTCGGGTAATTATATTTTCAAGTTGTTAAATTTTAAAAGTTATGCTAGATATGATGTTAGTTAGAATTAATCATTACTCACTAAATTGTAATATGATATGCATAATATATTTTTGTTAAATTTTTTTATAAATATTGAAAATTAATAATTACACATTGTAGATATATTTTTTATATTGTTTAAAATTGACAAATAATACATTTTTTATTTATTTTTAAATAATTACTTTTAATAAATAAAAAAAAATCAGTAACGATATCTAATTCCCACAGCTAAAGATTTGTTTGGTTTAATTTAAATTTAAATATTATATTTATTTTATATTTAAATAATATTTTAATATAGTATTTTAAAAATATACTTTCTCTGTCTCTTATCTATCTATTCGTTTGCTTTTTACACGGAGTTTTAGAAATATTAGTATTATATTTGGATATGGTATGAATAAAATAGAAAAGATTAAAATAACCTTATTAGTATTAGTATTGTATGATATAAAAGTAGTTGCATTTATGTAATATATTGTAAATTCTAAAAGTATTTTTAATGTTAATAGAAAATACAGTTATTAAAAAAATAAAATGAATATTTTGCTATGGACAAACTAAAATAGAAGAATGAATAGATAGATTGATAAGGAGTCGAGGGAGTATATATTTAATTTTTATTAAAAATTATATAAATTAAATAATACTACGTAATAATTTTAATTTAAACCTAAAACCTAACAAATTTTAATTTTCAATATTTTTATGATTTTCTATCGTTTTTTATATTATATATATATGTTTGTCTTGTACTCTCTCTCTCCCATAGTTTGGATTGTGTTCGGCACGGAATTTAAGGAATATTGATATTATATTGGTAGTGGATAAAAAATACGGATAAAAGATTTTTTGTCCTTATAAGTGTATTAGTGTAAAAAGTAGTGGCAATTGTGTAATAATAATGAAAAAGTAAAGGTAGTCTTATAGTGATATGATTATTTATAGAAATGAGACTATTATTTTGAGACGGACAAAAATAGTAAACAAGAATATTGTATTGTATTGGAACGGATGGAGTATCATGTAGTGTGCGAAATCATATCATATGTTATCTGTTTATGTATTATATTTGTAATATATTTATATAATTTATATATAAATTGTGTGTTATTTATACTTATGTATTATCTGGCGTGTGTTGTGGTTTTAATGTATTATTAATTTTTTACTTTTTATAATAATAAAATTCAAAAAATAATTAAAAATAATAATAATAAAAAAAAAGATATATTTTTTTTACTTCAAAAAAAGTAAAACAGATCTATTTTATTATGACAAATAGATAAAAATAAAAAAATAAAAAAATAAAAAGTGAATGACATTTTTTTATTATTAGTTTTTGTTTTATTGAGGGATAAATATATAATAATTAAGCAGGCGATACCACACAATCCACGAGTTGGCGATGCCTTAGATTCCATATTTGTTTGAGCTTTGGGTCCGCTTTCTAAAATATGCATTTATTATTGTTATTGGTGGGCTCTAATTTAATTTACTTATTTTTTTATTGTTTTGACCCTTGGAACCGACGATGCATTTCAAAATTATTCTAATAATAATAATAATAATAATGGATTGGGTAGTCCTAAGGGATGACTTGGTGGTATAGGAGTTGGATTTGTGACCGTGAGGTCATGGGTTCGTCTAGTGTAATTTTTCTGTCAGGACCTAGTTTGTTAAAATAAAAAATAAATACTTTAAAGTGGAACATAAAAAAAATGATAAAATATTTTGAAGTGAGACAGAAAAAGTAATGCATATCAACATTTGAATCTTGAGATGAATTTTGCAAGAAGCACTACAATTATTTTTGAAAACTTTTATTACAGCTGATCCAAGGTTAAGGACAATAATATTTTGAAATTGAAAAAAAAAAAAAAAAAATCAAAATAACAAAAAGTAATCATAAGAAGACGATATTTTAGAGATGTAGTTCAACTAGAATAATATATGTTTGAGGCGGTTAGATCAGATATTTTTATTAATAGTGTTAGATGTGTGTAAATTTTAAAGAGAATATATAAGTAGTTGCCTTTTTGTGTGATTATTTTTTTTTTTTTTTTTATTTTGTTGATTTTTAAATTTCCGCAATAATTTTCCTTATCTTGAAAAATCTTCCAAATTAAAATATATTGACTTTGTCAGGAATAAAAAGTGATTCTATTCGACTCAAAACACAACATCCTATATATTCAATACAATATACAATATAAGTAAGGGCAAATTTGATATTATATATACAATTGTATAAAAATGATATATATACTAACATCATTTTCAAACTTAATGTGGTGTCGTAAATATCAATTTGAGTTTGCCTAATAGAGTGTGGAATCGACCCGGAAGAAAAGATTTAGTAAAGAGATCCGTCGATTGATCTTTGATGGTGATCAAACGTACAATCTTAGCAACCACGTGATGTCTAAAAAAATAACAATTGGTCTCAATATGCATATTGCACTTGCGGAAAACATCATTATGCGAAATTTGTATGACACTACGATTGTGGCAGTGAAAATAGTAGAGGATGGATGAAGGGCAACAATGTCAGATAATAGTTGGTGAAGCCACAAAAGTTCGAATATAGAATTAGAGAGAGCACGATACTCTAACTTGGCGCTAAATTTAGAGACATTTGTCTACTTTTTATTGAGCTAAGAAACCAAAGAGTTACCCAAAAAAAATAAAATAGTAGCAATAGATCAACGATCGGTGGGATCATCCACAACAAGAAAATATCAATTTTGTAACAAGGTTTTTTCATCCCTAAATTCATTTTTTCCGTTACTAATGACATTAGAGACGGAATTAGAGAGAGAATTGCGTTATCTATGTGAACTTTAGAGACGGAATTTTGTTACTAATATACTATTTTTTTGTAGTGATCTAACCAATCTGCATCTGAGTAGTCCATAAGAACCAAAGATAAGTGAGTGAAAAAATATAGACCATGAAGAAGCCCACCCTTGATATACCCAAAAATATGGAGTACTGCAAAATAATGCGTAGTTCACAGAGTAGTCGTAAACTAACTAACAATATGTACAACATAAGCCATGTTAGGATGAGATACCGTGTGATTATATCAAGGATCCAACCATATGATGATAAAGAATTCGATCGTAGAGAGGATAGCCGTCCTAAGGGGTGAGAATATAGTTGGTCTTGAAAGGTATAAAGGTGATTTTGCTATCAATCAGACCAACACGAAAGATAAGACCATATGCGTACTTGGCTTGAGACGAAAAACGCGATGGTGACTATGGTAGAAAAAGTACCAACCTGATGAGAATAACAAGTGGGATGGGGATAGTTCTGGATGACATTTCTCCGAAGATGGCAATAGTGGCATTCGACTCTAGGGTACTAAGTATAGGGATGATCAACACTCTCGCATCGACAATATTTATAAGATTCATTCTAGCGTGGAATTGAACCCAGACAAGTAGGACTAGAGGATAGAGAGGGAACCACCGATGCAAAATCCAATAGTGGAGATCTAGGCTTAAGTCGGGTCATTTCAAACATAATCTCCTTCATGGTAACATCCAATGAAGAAAGGAAATGATGATTAAACAACGAGGCACAAAATGCTCATTTTCTAGATGGAGCTTTATTAGAAGTTGAATGAGCCTAAGATGATTGTGTCCAATTGCCTTTTGATAGATTAGATCCTATAAAGGTTGAATGGTAAAGGAAAAGTCATTCACAGACTGTATCGATTCGTGTGTCAACACGTTCAAGAGCTTAAAAGCTTATAGTAATGTGCGAGATCGGTAGGCTAAACTCGTAACCTTAAATAGTCTCAAGCTTATTGAGCAATGTCTATACGAAGAAGCTGAATCTGAATGGCTTAAGTAGAGGTATTGCGAAATCAAGTAAGAATTTGATGATTTTTACCGTCTCAATTCTTGAACTTCTCATGATAGACATAAATATCCTATAGAATTAGAGGATTATCGGGTGTAACGACATGCTTGATTTGTATAGTAAATCTTCCGTGACAATACGTCATAGTTTTTCATTGAATCAACTTAAATGTCATAATTGCTGCTTACAGAAGAACAATAACAATAGGGAGAGATCCATCCATACACTCTATAAAAAATTTCAAAATCAGAATAAGAAATCCCAAAAGAATAGAGCAAAATAAATTCACAATCAGCCTACAAACCCATGACCTCAGAACTCCAACCCCCAAGACCAAGCCAAGACTTCTTTCCGCGGTATTGTTCATTCTTATTTCTTGTGTTCTTGTTAGAAAAATGTGTTTTCCTATCATAATTTAATAATAATAAATAAATAAAATACAAAAATAAACCTCCAAAATATACACTATAATCCAGTTTCCTTAATTTTTCTTTATTTCTCATTTTTAATTTTTTACTTTGCTCACCAACTAAATGGCATTAATAATAATGTTCAACTCATAGTTCGAATATTTATTATTCTTGTTTTTTTTTTTTTTTTTTTTTCCACCTCACATTTAAAAATTTTCCGTTCTCTCTCTCTCTATATATATATAATATATGTACGTATATCTGCGTGCCAAATGAAAACAGGGTTGCAGGCACTGGCAGACAAACATATATCTCTGCAACACAGCACAACCACAAAGCGCTCTCTCTCTCTCTCTCTCTCTCTCTCTCTACTCATCCACCATTGCCTTCTCAAATCTCAATCCCTCTACAGTTTACACTACACAATCATTTATTATTCTTGTCGTTGTTCTTATTACATATTGGTTGGGGCTTCTACTGCTACTGCTACTGCTACCTTCAATTCAATTTCCTCGCCCAAAAAGGGGTTTGTTTCGTCAATTGATAATGGCTCTACTAAGCTTTCTGTCTCCCACAGAAATCAACACTACCCTTTCTTTCTTGGAATACTCCTCCATGTCCACACCCAATCTTAATCCTCTCAAACTACAAGGTATTCGTTTCGAAATTTTTTTTGAGATTACTGTTTTTGTATCATCATCGCTGCAGAGATTCTCTTTTGTTTTTCTTTCTTCGATGCTTTGGATTTGAGATATAGTGAATTGATTCCGAAGAAATTTTAAGGAGTTTGAAAATTTTGATTAATTAGGCGGGTTGGGTTTCAAGAGCAAGAAAATTGGATACAGTGCGGGCAAGAGAGTCCAATGCTCAGTCCAGCCACCGGCGCCGCCACCGGCGTGGCCCGGCCGGGCGGTGGTGGAGGCCGGCCGGAAAACTTGGGAGGGCCCTAAGCCTATTGCGGTTGTTGGATCAACTGGCTCAATTGGAACTCAGGTCAATCATTTTTATTATGTCCCTACACCATAGTCTAAATCTTTTGAGTGTGCTATAAACGTGGAAAATAAAATATCTATTTTATCATTTTGGTCGAAAGTCTATTTTCTATGTAAAATTAATCGTACATTAATATTAAAATACATATTTTATTTTTACTTAAATTATTAATATAATAACATGTGAAAATTTTTTGCAAACTTTTTACTAAGGTCCCTTTGGAGTGGGACACTTCAACTGAGGACCCTTTGGAGCGATGTTTTTGTTTTCTTGTAAAAAAATAAAATTGTACTCCCTCCTTGTCAGAAAATATACGGTTGTATTTGCTTTATATATAACATTAAAAATAATTTTTTATTTGTATAATTTATTATATAATTATCATTATTATTTGTATTACAATTTTTATATAATAATTAATATTCAAATATCAAGGCAAAAAATTATTGGAAAATATTTGTTTTTTATTTTTTATTATAAAAGACAAAAAGTATCATTATTAAGCGCTCATTAAAACAGGTGTTCAAATGTTTGAACATGTAGTTTGATGATTGAGGGAATATTAAATATGTTCATACTTTATAAGCATTAAAAGTAAATAAAATAAAATAAAAAAGGAAGAAGAAGAAGAATACTAATCTTTTACTAAAAAGAGAAACGGTAATATTTTTAATAGATTTTTTTGCAAAATTTGTTATAATTCATTGGTGGTTTGAAAAATTTGTATCTACGATCATATTTTGAAAAACATCACTCAAAATCTCTTAAAAATTGCAGGAAATTTTCTCGTATTTTTAAAAATATTGCACACAAATCTTTGTGCAATATTTTCAAAATATAAGAGAATCTTGTGCAATTTTTAAATCACTAAAGAATGGCGCAGACTTTTCAATCGCCAAGTGGATTATAAGTATTTTTGCATTTTTAGGGGTGTTATTATTAGCTGAATATGTAATAGTATAAATGTTTGAACTGATTGAGAAAAGTAGGATGTTTCATAAATTAGTTCCCCCTTGAAGTTGCAAATATTCAAGAAATCCTTTGAAGAAGTCATATCAAAAGGTGTGTTTTTGGGCTTGTGTATTTGATTTTTTTTTTATTTATTTATCGGAAAATAGCCTTGAATGTAATGTTTTGAATAGAAAACGGGCTTTGAATGTGACTTTTTGAATCAAAATAGATTTTGAAGATGTTGAATGTGATGTGTTGAAAGGAAACTATACCTCGAATGAGATTTTTTTTTTCCAGAGAAAACTCATCGAAAATAAAATAAAATAAAAACATCGATAAAATAGAGCATGTGAAATTTAATTTTTCTACACTCAGGTTTCAACTATTGTTGATCAGCATGATTTTCTCTTCTAGTTAAGGGAGAGGCATTTTTCCTGCTATCGAACATTTTGATTTCTCTAAAATTATGTTTATTCGCCGCAGACATTGGATATAGTTGCCGAAAATCCAGACAAGTTTAAGGTTGTTGCACTTGCAGCAGGTTCAAACACAACTCTTCTTGCCGATCAAGTGAGTGCAAGATACAATTTCAAAATCATGCTATGTCCTAAAGAAAACCTCATGCTTCACGGTTATCATTCATATAACAAATTTTAACTAATCGTGCAGGTGAAGAGATTTAAACCTCAGTTGGTGTCGATTAGGGACGAGAAACTGATTGATGAGCTGAAAGAGGCACTGGCTGATGTGGAGGAAAAGCCCGAAATAATTCCCGGAGAGCAGGGGATTGTCGAGGTTGCCATTCATCTGCAATCATTTTATTTTTTACAGTGGTCGAAATCAATCATTTTTTTCACCTACAATAAAAATTTAACTCCAGGTTGCTCGCCATCCGGATGCTGTCACTGTAGTCACCGGAATTGTTGGTTGCGCAGGTTTGAAGGTAATCTTAATTTCTTTCGGACAAAATTTTTTATAAGTTCATGTGGCAGAACCAGCCCCCGAAATTCGGGGGTTGAACGCCGGTATATTTTTATTGATTTGACACTGTCTTTTTCAATTCTCGTTGCCGCAAGAGCAACAGATGAAAAGAAAAAAAAAATTAAATAAAGGCATAATAAAGTGATAACCTTAGTATTTTGGGAGCAAATTAGCATAATTATATATGAAAAAATAATATATATATTTTACACTTTAAATCATGAAAGAGTATGATGCAAATTTTCCAAACTACAAATGGATTATAAACATTTTTGCCATTCTTTTATAGTTTTATGGTACATTGCATTCGCCTCCCAAATCTAGTTTGCGATATCTTAGCTATGTAAAGTTTTAAGGTTATGTGTAAGCATTTGGTTTCGTTTTTTCAGCCAACTGTGGCTGCCATAGAAGCCGGAAAGGACATTGCTTTGGCGAATAAGGAGACACTTATCGCCGGTGGACCTTTTGTCCTCCCTCTCGCTCACAAGCATAAAGTAAAGATTCTTCCCGCAGATTCCGAACATTCTGCTATATTTCAGGTTCGTGGCGATTCAATCATATATTAGATGTTTATTTGATGCTATTTAGAGTGTGCTTGTTTAGTATTTATAGTTTTAGATGTTTTTATTGCGAAGAGGATTATGAAAGTATTACACAGAATGATGATTTGTGTGTTTTTATTAACTTTTATTGTCATATGTATATATTATAGTTTTTAGATAATAGTTTCAAAAATCGTTAATATTTAGAACATTAAAGGATTTGGATTTGGAGTTAGGATTTGAATAGTGAAAATTTTGAATTGAAATAGTTGTATGGTGTGATATAAATAGATGCTGGTGTGATATTTTTAGTATAATATAAAAAGTGGAAATAAGTATTTAATTTGATATTTTTTTTAAAAAAAAATTTAATGAATAGTAGAAATCAGGAAAAAACTTTCAAACAAACACACCCCAGTTACTTGCCTCCCTTGTAATTTTGAGGTTCGAGGAAATGCCGGCTTGTTTTGTTCTTACAGTGCATTCAAGGCTTGCCTGAAGGGGCACTGCGGCGCATAATTTTGACAGCATCGGGCGGCGCTTTCAGGTATAACGATATTTTGTGCAAACCGATTTTCGGTAAGGATTGAAATAGTTAGGTCTCATGAAAGAAACTTGTCTATGTTTTGTCTAAAAATCAAATGTCCGGTGACATAACTGGTAATGACTGGCGTCGCCCATGATAGGGACTTGCAAGTCGAGAAATTAAAAGACGTAAAAGTAGCCGATGCCTTGAAGCATCCTAACTGGAATATGGGGAAAAAGATCACCGTAGACTCGGCCACACTCTTCAACAAGGTAAATACCTTTTGTTCGTCTTCGAGCCTAACAACTTAGTAAAATCAATGTATTGATGCGATTCATGTTCTCTCGACAGGGTTTAGAAGTTATCGAAGCTCACTATCTGTTCGGAGCTGAATATGATGACATCGAAATTGTCATTCATCCACAGTCAATCATACATTCGATGGTCGAGACACAGGTAATTCTAATGTTATTCGCCATTGGTCGCAACTCAAAGTACAATATAAATTATGAACACTGCTCGATCTTTTTTCGTAACGATTATTACAGGATTCATCAGTTCTTGCGCAACTGGGATGGCCCGACATGCGTCTCCCGATTTTATACACGATGTCTTGGCCGGACAGAATTTACTGTTCAGAGGTTACTTGGCCTCGGCTTGATCTGTGCAAGTAATGACGCTATCCTTACAAAATTATTTAGCGCCAACGTGTCTTTAAAGTAAAAAATTTATTTGAATTCATGTGTGCTTCGATGGTTTAGGCTCGGTTCTCTTACGTTCAAGATTCCCGACAATGTCAAGTATCCGTCCATGGATCTAGCTTACGCTGCGGGACGAGCCGGGGGGACAATGACAGGTGTTCTTAGTGCAGCCAATGAGAAAGCCGTCGAAATGTTTATCGACGAGAGGTAGTATTCTTGATCCCCTCGACTAATTGGCTGTCGACATCTCATTTCATCAATTATCGATTGAAAGAAAAAATGCAAATTTCTTATAGTCCACATCTGGTTTGAAAAGTCTTGCATTATATTCTTCATGATTTAGAAATTTCATAAGTTTGTTCGTGTTTAAGGAAATATTATATAGACTCTCTAGAAATTTAGAAAATACTGTATAGAATTTCTTAAAAATTTCAAAAGACTCCTTTATGTTTTAGAAAATATTATATACGCTCTCTCGAAGTTTAGAAAATACTGTATAGAATTTTTTAAAAATTTCATAAGACTCCCTTGTGTTTTAGAAAATATTATACACTCTCTTGAAGTTTCGAAAATACTGTATAGAATTCCTTAAAATTTCATAAGACTCCCATGTTTTAAAAAATATTATACTGACTCTCTCGAAGTTTCGAAAATACTGTATAGAATTTGTGAAAAATTTCATAAGACTACTTTATGTTTTAGAAAATATTATACGGACTCTCTCAAAGTTTAGAAAATACTGTATAAAATTTCTTAAAAATTTCATAAGACTCCCTCGCGTTTTAGAAAAATATTATAATGACTCTCTTGAAGTTTCGAAAATACTGGATAGAATTTCTTAAAAAGTTCATAAGATTCTGCGGTGTTTTAGAAAATATTATACTAACTCTCTCGAAGTTTCGAAAATACTGTATAGAATTTCTTAAAAATTTCATAAGACTCTCTCGTGTTTTAGAAAATATTATGCAACCTCTCTCAAAGTTTAAAAAATATTGTATAGAATCTCTTAGAAATTGTACGAGACTTTCTCGTGTTTTAGAAAATATTGGACATAATCTTTTAAAAATTGTGTGAGGCTCTCTCGTAAAAATATTGCACAGAATCTCTTAAACTTTGAAGGAATTTCATTTAGTTTCTAAATCACGAGAAATAATAGTGCAGACTTTTCGAACGACGAGTACGTTATAAGCAAATTTGCCTCGAGAAAACAGGGAAATGTTCGTACTAATGATGATATTTTTCGATGGATGATGTAGGATCGGGTACCTCGACATATTCAAAATTGTGGAGCTAACGTGCGAAAGGCATCGGGCAGAGCTTGTGACATTGCCGTCGCTAGAGGAAATCATTCATTACGACTTGTGGGCACGCGACTACGCAGCGAGTTTGCAGCCGTCGACATCGAGCCCGGCTCTCGTCTGAGCCCGGGATCGGATTGTAGTTTTAGTAGAATATCGCCGTAAGAGGCCATAAGCAGTTTTAGCTTTGAATGTTTCATAACTATTGGAACTATTCGCTATTTGATCAAACTCGAGATAATAATGATGACGAAGATGCGGAAACCTTATGTGATCACCTTAATAACCTGTAGAATTAAACATGGCGGCGTAATAACCTGGTTATGTATTTTCCAAATCGATTGTCACGTCAACTCTGTTATGTTTATGTCAGCAATTTTCGTAAGTTATAATGAGATTAAAATTGATGAATTTTTTTTTTATGTAAATCAAAATTGATAAATTATGGTTATATTTGGACCAACCAAAATCAAATTTTTTTCCTTTTTTATATTAAAAGTAACATTAAAAAAAAATTAGAGTATAATATAATTTTATAATGCATTATTGGGCTAAAGAAAAAATTTAAAGTAAACCAAAAACAAAATGCTTTTATAGTTCAACACAGTAATTATGGCATAAGTAACAGAGATGGATAATAGGTATTATATTGTTACTATTTATATTGATATAATATAAATACAAAGGACATACTCTTTCAAATTTACTTATAATGCACTCGAAAAATAACAGTGGCAGATTCAACAACAAAAAAAACATAATAATAATGAGTCAATCACAACAAATTAAACATAAAAAATAAAATAAAATAAAATGGAGTCGAGAAAACAAAATCATCAGCACAAATCACCATCATAATGGAAAGCTAAATTAATATCTCATGGTAATTCCATGTAGAAAAAAAAACACCAAAAACACACCAAACAATGTATTATATCATGTATTTGTATGTATAATACACACACACCCCTACATGTATATATATATATATAAAGTCCACAGGCTGCACAAGGTTGGCAACACTAGAGAATATCCATCCTCTATATACTTTTTAGAGAGAGGAGAGAAATGTACCACAACCAACACACATTCTTCACTTTTATTTTTATGGCTAAAAGCAACAGAGGGTAGGAGGGTGGGTACCTCGCTAGTTCTTCAGTTCAGTTAAGCCATCAAGGATGAAGCCCTTTCGTCTGTCGATGGCGCTATCTCATTCGAGTGTGTAGAATTTGAACCATTAGCCTCAAAGGAACCACCCATTTCCGATATTTTGGTGATCTTTTGCAACTCATCGGTTATATCTGCTGATTTAAGATCATCTGTTTCTGTATCGGTCTGGGACAGAGATTTCTTCGGCTGCCTAATGGCAGCAGCTGCTTCCGGCATCACAACAGAAGGCGGCTGGGGAGGTACCCATGACCGCTTCAACAGTGTTTCATTAGTAGCTACACTGGGGAATCCAAAGTTCGGCTCATTGCCAATCTCTGTTTCGGTGGTTCTTGTATTATTTGGCTGCCGCCATCGCACAATATTGTCTCCATTCAGTTGATCATCGATGGAGAAACCATTTGTGCTTGCTTGACTTGGAAAAGTGCCGGCAGATCTACTCTGACCTTGACCAATCTCCCAAGGCTGATTGCAACACGAAATCGCGTCGTCAATAAAAATCCAATACATCTCAGAGAAAATGCAAAGTTGAGCAAATAAATTGTGTTCTTTTGTGAAGTTTTCAATATTTTTCACTGTTCAATTAAAAAAATTTTTTCCAAAAACATCAAATCTATTTTTTACTCCTCCGTCCCAATTGAAAGTACTTTTATTTTTTTATGTTCCACTCAAAAGTATCAATTTCATATTATAATAAAAATAATATACGGATACCAAAATACATTTTAATTTTTACATAAACTACAAACATAACATTACACACATATATATATAAAGTACAAAAAAAAAAAAGTACAAAAGGCAAAAATATCAAAATCATCTTACACACTTCTACTAACCAATAAAATACCATTTTTTAATCTACTACAAAAATTCAAATCTATACTTTCTTCGGAAAGGAGGAATAAATTTTTATATTATACTATAAATTAATTTACATTCAAAACATCGTATCAACATCTATTTATATCATATCAAATAACTATTCAAATTCAATATTTTATTATTCAAAAATCCAAATACTCAAACTAACACACATATATGATTGTGTGCCTAGTGACTGCATTGGGAACCTTCGGCAATCTCTTCCCATTTTGTTAATTGCAGCAACAGAAATGTTTGTGTGCAGTCATAAGTATATATATTCATTCAGATGTTTCGGTAAATCATATCTACGGCTACGAAAAGAACAGAACAGAAAGCACACAGAGACCATGAGATGACGACAATAAGGAAATGTTCAGTTGATTTGATCAATCATAAAAGCTGTCTATATTTATTTCACCAGAAACTATCTCAATAAAAGCATTGTTAAATACAGAAAAAGTAATTTTTAACAAACCTTTGGCTTTGGTGCTAAGTGTGGATTTGGTAATGGTTGATTGGGATTTGGTGGGGCGTCGTTGATTTCCTGCGAATTCAAAGAAGTTTTGATAAACAGGCAAAACAAGTTCCATATATATACATATATATATAATATAAGAGTGATAAATAGTAGAAACAAAGATAGACACCATTAATGGAGTGGACTAACCCTAATATTTGATGGTTTTTCGCCTCTCTGTATCATAGCCATTATCTGCAGAGAAATTTTTGCATAATATTAAGCAAAATAGAAATCGATGGCGGTGACGGTGACGGTGGAGAAGAGGTTGCTTTCCTGCCTATCATCTGAACCACTTAGGGTGCGTTTGTTTGGGGGATTGGATTAGATTTCCACTATTCATCTCATTTTTTTTCCCCAAAAACATCAAATCAAACACCTAATTTTTATTTTTTATATTATACTAAAAATCAATTTTACATTCAAAACATCACATCAACACCTATTTATATCACATCATAACTAGTCAAATTCAAAATTTTTACTATTGTGTACATTATTCTTTCCTAGTATCTACATATAAGAATAAATTTCTATACAGAATATTTATAGCTCCAAGGATCACTCCTAAATTCTAAAACAAAAAAATGGAAGTAATTACTCGATTAAAAAGAAGAATACTACCACAAAAAGTCCTGCAACAATTACTAGGACAATATAATCAAACAGAATGCTACTCAAAAGTCACACAGTGCAAAAGGTTCACACTTCAGAAACCATCGTGGACAACTAAGACTGAAAAGAAAATACCTCCATGTACGACTTCGGGTGAGGAGCAACAGAAGGTTCCACAGAGACTGGTGGTGACAAAGATCTCACTGCACAAAAGGGTCCGAAGATATTAATAATAGTAAAAAAGGGCAATAGACACTTGATAAAAATTATATGTATTTATATCATCAGTTTATATATGAGTGGACCTGAGCGTGAATCAGAATCCACCTTGCCGTTAGCATAAGGCTGCTGGAAAAGCAAATTGACATATTAGTAATAAAAAAGAAACATTTAAGGTGTGTTCTTTTGTGATTTCCTTTTTTTTTTTTAACTATTCAATCTTTATTTTCTTGCTATAAACATCACACAGAACACCCAATGTCATCCAAAATATCACATCAAACAGCTCTATTCAATTCAAAAACACCAAAGAAAAAATTACAAAACAAAAACAAAACCACAAAAAAACACACCCTTAAAATTGTTCAGTGGGAGCTTTAAGGACAATTAGTAAAAATTAGCTCACCCCAGAGGTGGTCCATGAGAACCCTTTGATATTGTGCTCCTCCGTAGACTGTCTACTAGTAATACTATGCCCTGAGATTGTTAGTAAAAAGAATTTAGACTTGAGTAGTTCAGAACCAGATAAAAAAAAGGAAAAAACATGAAGAAAATGCATAAGGATTAAAAAAGGTGGGTTCATTTATAGAATCTAAGATCCCAACACCCGCCTGTTCTCAGATTTGCATGACGATTAATTCCAGCCTATTACTTCTTTGATGATATAAACAAAATATGAAGAACCCTTAAGGAAATGCAAAGGTGTTTGCCCTCATATATTTGATACTATGTAACAAACTAAATCCAAGGCCAATTTATGAGCAGTTACAATCCATTCTTATAAGCACTACTACTTTTGAAACACATCACTCTATGGATAATATTATAGTAGTTTTAAAGATTCAATCCATTGCAAATGCTACAAACTACAGATGACTCGCCAACACAAAATTGAAGATTGAAAAATAAATAACAAAAATTGAAAGCTATAAGTAGCCACTTAGCAACAAAAAAGATAAACGAAATCTCATAACTTTTAAATTAATATGAATAGAAGGCACAACCCAAACAAAGGAATAGATTACTACTTACCAACTTCCAGTTTTTGTATTGCACCTCTCAGTGATGTCATCTCACTTGCTTGCACACGTAACATGCTAATAAGTTCCTCCAAGCATCTCTTTTCTGAGAACAAGTAAAATAAAGTGCCAATCTAGAATGCTACTTAAAAATGACAAGTAGAGACCGAGAAACAATATTGTACGTTACTAGAGACTATCAAATATTACCTTCACTGTTTGTCATCAACATATCCTGGCTTGTTCGTGCTACATCAGCCGCGGCTGTTGCAGCAGATTTTGCAGCAGCAGCAGCTTCTTCAGCTATGCTTGGTTTGGTGTCAAATTTCTTTGTCTGACCTTTTACATCTTCTTCCAATACAATCCAGCGAATCCAAGACTTCAACTTGGGTACAAATAATCTCTGAAACAAATGTGCTGTCAAAAAATGCAATATAAAATTTGGAAGGTGAAGGGTTTCTCAATTTGCATTGTACCTTGAAAACTACAGCCGCTATAACCTGTGCCACTGTCAGAAAACCCGCGGCGAGTATACCATGGTACCAGCGGAACCGAGATATTGCTCCAACTTTTGAAGTGCTAACGGCAGGTCCAACGGGTGTGGATTGCAGGACCTGTACTGGATGTTGTTGCTGATCATTTAATGAAGATTTTATCTGCCCATCTTTATACACCATAAAGCAGATTAAACATATTACTATCAGAACTATTAATAAAGAAAGAGAAGTCAAGTTCACAAATTTTAATCCCAAATTGAATCTAAGCAGTATACCCACCAACCCACCTACACACACACAGACACACACACACACACACATATATATATAGTGATACCTTGCTTACCAACAGCAGACAGAGTAGTTGTGGCATCTGGGTTTGAATCCTGTTATATTTAAACCAGAATATATTACACTTGAAAATTTACACTCACTCTTAAGACTTTGGATGCAAACAGATTATTACATTGGAAACAGGAGCATTTATTATTCTACAATTTGAAGTAGGATACTCACTGGAACACGTCGAAAGGCTTCATCAATTTCCTCCTTAGTGAGACCCTTTCTCTCAAGAAATGATCTTCTATAGACAACAGGAGATCCCCTAACCTTTGGATGTGAAAGAAACCTCACAGCATTTTGCACTTGCTCTTCTCGAGGTGGTTCTGCGTTCACAAATACTGAAGCAGAAGAAATCTCCTTCTCCATCTCAACCTTGGGATCCTGACGGTCATCATTTGCTTGTGCAACCTGTGAAACTGTAGTTCCAAATGTAACATAACAGAAACAGGAGTAGCATATAAAACAATTACTATTAAAGATGTCACAACTCTATTTGTATGCACACAATCTTATGATCCACATAGCTCATGATTAAAATCTAAAAATGCTAATATGAGATGAATCAATAAATTTTAGAAGCTGACCAATTCATACAATTACACTCAATTAGGAGAGGGGGGTGGGGGGGGGATTGAGTTACATCATGGGCTTGCAGACCACAGCTGGTGTGTTGGTCAAAATATTCACTGAGTTAAATACAACCCAACAACCTTAGACAGATCCTATTGCTCCAACCTCAACCTGAGCAGTGTCATGTTGATATATAAATCCACCACCCATTTTTTGAATTTAATAAAAAAGCAGATTAACAAAGAAAGCACAACTTTGTAGATGTGGATAGAACAAACATAAATAGTTTCTCAATTTAGAGATTTCAATTAAGGAGCCTGGGTTTAGGTGTTGCTAGCCTTGAGAAAGATTGCAACATAACACATGAGATCCTCGGCTTATATGTAGTAATTGGAACTGAATTGGAGCACCAATTGCATACAACTGTGCTAAATGGATTCATAATTCAAGTGTTAGCTAATCACCATTCACTTCTCCAAAAGTTCTTGTTTTTCTGTTAGGTTCTAAGTTGAATTTAATCAACAAATAGCATCTTGATCAACTAAATAATAAGGGATTTATCGATCCTAGTATGGCATAATTTCCAGGCGGGATCAACCCTAGATAATCATCTGCGCAACTATCGGATGGGCAAGCTTGAACGCAAACCATTCATCAGGCCCTCTTCTTGTTATACACCTTGAGGTACTACCATACAAATAGCATTTTCTGCTCCTGAGGATATGGTCTGGCATTAATTTAGGCAAATGGAAAACATTTATCAAAAAAATAAATCTGCTTATCCCAAATGGTAAAACATTATCAATAAAGACATATATATACATGTTTTCTTTTCTAAATGATGATTCGATGAGGTGGCACTACAACATGGCCCTAGAATGGAAAATAATGAAGTCAACAGCTTGGCCCAGATGGCATCAGGCTATAAGCCTTGCGTTGGTGCAGGGTGTCCTGAATTTGGGTGTACGGTCAAGAGCAAGGAGGTGATGTATTTTGGAGCTACTTTTTGATCATCTACAATAATACCTCATCATCCTTTGCTAGGCACTTCTTAGGCAGTCAAATGCAAGAGTCTCAACTCTCAAGTACACTGTGGTGGATGACAACTTATACCAAAGGAAATTAGTTATGGCTTTACTCCAGCGTCAACCCTTGATTCGGCACAAAGGAATTGCAACAGAAAGAGTCACTGTCAAAAACCTTGAAGCAGCAAGGAGAAGATGACCCAAGTGGCCACTTGAGGTGTAAAATTGCACTTGGGGGTACTCTTACTGGAGCTAAATTAAAAGGGGATTAATAGTAATACATGGGAAACATCATACACCTGCAATTTTTCTTGTGAATGATTTCAATACATTGACTGTACATTTTTTCGATTTAATTGCTGATATTTTTTGAGCTTTCATTTTGTAGCTTTCCCAATAGTTAAATTCAGGGGCTTGTATTAAGTAAGCAAGGATTATCACTTATCAGCAAAACCTTTTTAAGTACGGACAATAATCTTGAACTATCAAAACCAGCTCTATTGATTCATATACGTCTCAGTCGGTAAGCTACATCATTAAATTGCAAACATGAATCCGAAATTGATGAAAAGAAGTGAGCAGAAAGAAAGAGAGAGAAGTAATTTAAACCTGGATTTTGGGGGGTTTTACTCGGCGGATCGTCGGATGGGCTTGACATAACAAAATATCTTCCCCTCGCTGGCCTGCGCCTTCGTCCAACAGAATCTGCATCCAGAAACAAAAAAATGAGTGATTATGGATTGATTACGATTCGGTTGAGAGAGAATTGCAAATTGGGATCCCGCTCTTCGTTCAACGGAATCATCACAATTAGAATCAGAATCGCATCCATACCTACGGCGCAAAAGTAGATGAGTCTTGCCGAAAGTGGAGGGAGCTGTTTAATAGCACCTTAACTTCCAAACTGCAAGGATAATTTGATGCAAAAAAGAAAACCTCTGTAATTCCAACATTAAAAAATAACATTAGATATATTTTTGGGATAGTTACAGTGCTAATTTGTCGCATTTGGATTATATTAACATATACTCCCTCCGTCCCATGTAATATAGGTCTATCAGCGTAGACACGGAAATTTAGTAAAAGTATAATTAGTAAGTAATTAAGAAGTGTATTAGTAAAAATAATTATTATTTAGTAAAAATAATTATAGATTAAAATTAAGATAAGTAAATAATTTAATTAAAATTAAAAAAATTATAAAATTAAAAATTTAAAATGTAATTAAAGTGTATAATTATATTTTCAAAAATAGAAATAACATTACGTGGGAAAGAAAATAGAATATAGATACAAATGATATGGGCGGAGGGAGTAATATAACTAGAGTGAAGACATGCTATGCATGGATAGTTATAAATTTTATTAAATTATTAAAATTAATTGTTGTTATTAAATATATATAAAATTTTAATATGAGAATTATTTAAATAAATTAAAATATTTTACGCTATTAAGTTTTTAGTATTTTAAATATTAGAATTAATAGATTTTATTGGTTAAATATATATTACAAAAATAATGTCTATATAGAATTTAGTGGTATCTATTCATATTTTTATAAGTAATTTTTAAAATTAAAATTTAGTTTAAAATTATGTTGATAAAAAATTTAAAATAGTTGAACAAAACAAAAGTCAAATTTCATTAATTTGTTACTGTCATTTTAATATAATTAAATTATAAAATACTTTCTCAAATCGAAATAATTATTTCACATTTTTTATCCGTCAAACTTATGCATAATTTATTTATAATAAAAATTTATCCATTCACAATTTTATTATCCATTCACAATTTTATTATCCTTATTTAAACAAATAATGACCAAATTTGTTATCATTTTTCTACTTACTCCACTATAATATCCTCAATTTATTTTTTTAAATTATCTCACATTTTGCATTAAAAGACAATTACCTAAAAAAACTATGCAAATATACTTTTAGGGCAATAAAAAACAGAGGAAGGAAGTATTATTTAAAAATATTTAATTAACTAAGAAAATTAAATATAATTTAATTATATATTACATTTTTGGTGGGACTCACCATCTAAAAAATTCTAAAAAATATTATATTTATGATGGGATCCATCATCTGAAATTTTTTTAAAAAGAAATGGTATATTTGTAGTGAAACCTAAAAAAAAAAAAAAAAAATTAAGTAAAAGAAAGAAAAATGATGTGTTGCCACGTCGCAACACAAAATCAAGGTAAATATATATATTTTAGATATATTGTTTACAGTAATATTGCATGTTGTCAAATAACACATTTGAAACCATATCATATATTTTTTTTGTTCATATATTATTTTTGTATTATATTTAGGGGTGGAAATAGGTCATGCCAGGCTTTGGTTAAATAGGTCAGGCCTATTTTATAAAACTAAAGCCTGAGCTTCGCCTATTTTAGGCCTATTAAAATATATATCTAAGGTCTAAGCCTACTTTAAAGTTTAGTCTGGTCTATACGTCTATTTAAAAGTCTATATAATATTTTTTTTTTTTCAAACTTAATATTTGTAGAAGAATATATACAATTATTTATTATATATAATAAATCAGTTAAAATAAATTAATTTTTTAATTTTTATTGTCACCAAATATAATTTTATTATAAATTATAAATAATTAAAAACATAATATTTATATATATTAGATAAAAAAATATATATATATGCTATATAAATATATAAACAGGCGGGCCGGCCTGATAGGCCAAAAAGGCCTTTTGTAAAGCCTAAGTCTGTTCCATTTATTTAATAAGACTTAGAAATATATTTGAATTTAACCTTCTTAGTAAACAGGTCAAACCAGGCCTTATGCAGAGGCTCCTGACAGGCTGATTAGCCTATTTCCATCGCTAATATTTATACTATTGTAATATTTGTATTAATATTATGTATTATCAAATAGCACATTTAAGGTGTATTTGGCAATTAGCTGATAACTTTTAACTTTAACGGATTCAATTAGCTGTTAGTTGATTCAATTAGCGGTTTGTATTAAACTGTTTGGTAAAACAACTGTTTTGACATTAGTTGTTTATACATAAAATGACTATTAAGGACATTGATATGTTATTTTTTAAAATATTTAATTTTGTTTATTTTGATTTGAAATTTATGAGAATTTTCGTTATTAACTATTGAAACTTATAAAAAATATTATAAAATATTTATTTTTATTTTTATTATTTAGATATGAGAAAATTATTTTTGCTAAAAAATAATAATTTTTTATTGAAATTATGTAAAAATAAAATAATAAATGTTTCGTATATATTTTTTTATTATGTTAATTATTGTTTTAATATATATAAATAAATTAATAACATTTGTTTTTTCTATTTGATTTAGTTTTAAAAATTTATATATTTTACCAATAAAATAATTTATATGTGATAATTAATAATAGTAATTATTTTAAATTTATAAAAATAAAAATATAATTTAATAAATTAAATATATTAAAAATAATTAATAAATACTGTTATAAAAATATTTATATGTATAAAATAAATATCTAAATTTTAAGGGTAAATAAGGAATAACCAAAATTAAAATGAAAAAACTCTCTCAAAACGCCGTGTAGATGAGCTTTTAAAAAATTAGATTACCAAACACTTAATTTTTTTTACGGGTCAAATAGCTAAAAGTTATTCAATAAACTAAAAGCTCTTCGAAAAGTTGTTTTCCAAACAACCTTACTCGCTCTATTTTTGTTACCAACCTTTTTTTTTATATTGAAAAAATTAATAAATATATTACCTTTTTAAAAAAATATTATAATATTATTTAAATTAAAAATTAAATCACAAACTCAATTTTAAATCAAAGCATGTTGTATACGGAATTTAGATATTCAAATTTCAAATCGCCAAAGCCAAGAAATTGGGTTGTGTTTGGTACAGAAAAATAGGGCCAGATAAATAGAAATAGTATCATTTCTCTTATTTGTTTGAGTCAGAAAAATAAAACTTGAGAAATAAATTATTTTTATTTTTCTGTTTTCATTTCTCTCTAGTACGGAGAGAAATGAAAATAGTATCATTTCTCTTGTTTGTTTAAGTTTGTTTGCAGTATATGTTTTTTTTTTAATTTTTAAAATTTTTTTGTACTATTTAATTTTTATATTTTTTTAAATTATATTATTTTAATTTTAAAAAAACAAACTTAATTTATTTTTAAAGTATTTAAATTTTACGATATTTTAAGAAATTGTATTAAAATATAATTTTAAAAAACATCTTATATAATTTATAATTTTTTAAAAAAAAATTACCAAAAATATTTTTCATGAATTCTCATTCGTTAAAACTCTCTTTTTATCGAATTAATCATTTATTTTTATAATTTTCATTCTCTGCTCAATTCCATTTCTCTCCAATTCTATTCTCTACTGTAATTTCTCTGCAATTTCATTCTCTGTACCAAACGTCCAATTGGTAAACTGGTTCTAAAGTACTTCAAAAAGTCCTCAAAATAAATTGTTTAGTGTATAATGATTTTAAATTTTCTTTTTAATTTATATATAAATTAAAATAAAATGAGACAAATAAACTCGAACAAACTTAATCGAGCCGAATACGAACACGAACTCAAAATACAGAAATCCTTAATAAGCTGAGCTCGAACACTATGAATGAGCTCGAAAGCTTAACGAATGAACACGAGTCTTGCTCGCGAACGTTAACGAATACATAAAATTTGGCTCGACTCGGCTCGTTAATAGCTCTAACCTATCACAAATTGATTTTAGATTGAAAGTCCGGATCTTTGTTAACATGGTATCAGAGATTTGAGGTTATCGATCTTCTCCGAAGCCTCAGACTCCATGGATGACGGCGGTACCTATTGATGAGGTTTGACGGTATCCTCGACCAGCGTCTGCAGTGGCTTCTCCACTTGGGCATTGGACGCCTTCTTCTTCGCCATTGACACTTGAAAATTCTTTAACCTGATGCAAAAATGTTGGTTTGTATTTTTCGAGATGGGGAAATGGGATCAGGGATGAGAGGTCGAGGTTTATGGGGCGTCCGTGAATGATTAATTCTGGCCGGAGAAAATGAGAAATGCAAAACCGATATTTTTGCATCAGGTTAAAGAATTTTCAAGTGTCAATGGCGAAGAAGAAGCCATCCAATGCCCAAGTGGAGAAGCCACTGCAAACGCTAGTCGAGGATACCGTGAAACCCCATCAACAGGTGCCGCCGTCATCCATGGAGTCTGAGGCTTCGGAGAAGATCGATAGCCTCAAATCTCTGATACCATGTTAACAAGGGATTCGGACTTCCAACCTAAAACCAATTGGTGACTGTCGGAGTGGTCTTTCAACCTTATAAGCCAAGGAACTTTTCACATGTTTACCAATGTAAGACAATATTCAACACTCTCCCCTCGAGATGATAATCTCGAAAATTCATATCAGATCAATACTCAACATCATGGCCACCATGGCTCTGATACCATGTTAAGAAGGGATCCGGACTTCCAACCTAAAACCAATAAATTTTATATTGGAAGCCCGGATTCCTTCTTAACAGTAACGTCCGTAAGTTTCATTTTCTACATTTCAACTATCTACGGATTTTTTGACTTGCCTTCACTTTCCTCTTACTTAAAAATTAAGCTCTCAACATGCATGGCTTACTTCTTCCTCCAATGGCAGATATTCATCTTCCTTGAACCTGATCATCCTAAATCTATACCTTAGGCCAACTTATCCTAATTTTTGTAATCCAACAAAATCAAACAAACTGGAAATTTATAATAATAACAAGGGTAAACTGTTTTTTAGTCCGTAACTAACCCCTTATCATTTTAGTCCTATAAGTGGAGCCTGTCGCAAACTAGTCCTATAAGTGAAAAATTTTTGCTGTTTTAGTCCTCCGGCGCCGGAGACTCCCGCGTGGCTCGCCGGAGGTGACGTGTCCGCCAGGTCAGCGACACCTGGCGGACACGTGGATTTTTTTATTTTTTTTTTCATTTTTAAAATTTTTTTTAAAACTTATTTTTAATTTATTTTTAATTTTATTTGCATTTTTTTATTTTTTATTTGGTTCAATTAAAAAAAATTAAAAAAATAAATAAATCAACGTGTCCCCAGGTGTCGCTGACTTGTCGGGACGCCTGGCGGACACGTCACCTCCGGTGAGCCACGCGGGCGTCTCCGACGCCGGAGGATTAAAACAGCGAAAACTTTTCATTTATGAGACTAGTTTGCGACATGCTCCACTTACGGGACTAAAATGATAAGAGGGTCCAGTTACGGGACTAAAAAAACAGTTTACCCTAATAATAATAATAATAATAATAATAATAATAATAATAATAATAATAATAATAATTGTGTTCGAAATATATTAATCACATGTGTTTTTCCTATAAAATTGGGATAAGACAAAATGACAATTGATTGAGGTGGAGCGTTCATACTTCACGGGTGAGTGATGTTAGATAAGAGAGATGCACTAGTAAAATCATATGTGAAAATGTAGCGTGAAAATAATGCATGAAATTTTGTTTTTAGAAATCGAGAATTCAAATATTTATGAAATGTTTAACATATTCTGGAATCGAATTTCGATCGGTGATGTTAGAATATTAAACTGAAATTTTCTTATTTTAATTATAAAAATTTGTACATATTTATAATTACGTACAAATCATCTAAATAATGCAATACAAAACTCTTAAATAAGATAACTATCGTAAATATAATATATATTTTTTAAATATATTTTAACATTCTTCCTCAAACTTAAGATATGATCGAATAAACTTGAGTTTGTCTGAATGAAATGACCAAAAAAGATATAATTTGGATCTTCCACGAGTGAATTTGAATTTGCCTAGACTGGCCGAAAGTGATGTAGCCGTCCACCGGATCAGAGTCAGAATCAGAACTCAACACCGTTTTGGAGTTAGAAACAGGATTCACTCATTCACAATGGAACTAGAGTCGGAAACAGACTCGCTCGCTCACAACAGAGCTAGAGTTGTAAACAAGACGCATTCACTCTATTGAATAGAGTTAGAGTCGAAAATGGGACTCTCTACGGCGTCAGAGTTGAAAGTAGAATTATGTCAGTGGAGATCCAAATAGTAAAAATGGAAACGGCATGAAAAATGACAGCATGATCGTGAATATCATAAATAATACAAGAATTTTACAAATCTATAACTATCATAAATGTAATATATTTTTTTAAATATATTTTAACAGATGAGGTAATTGGTAAAATATTATTTCTCATATCTCATTATTGGGTGTGTTTGTTTGGGGGTTTGGATTTTGAGTTGGGATTTGAATAGTAAAAATTTTGAATTTGAATAGTTGTATGATGTGATATAAATAGGGTTTGATGTGATGTTTTGAATGTAAAATTGATTTTTAGTATAATATAAAAAATGAAAAATAGGTGTTTGATTTGATGTTTTTGGGGGGAAAAAATTGGATGAATTGTGGAAATCCACCAAAATCCTTCAAACAAACACACATGTACTAAATCAAATAGAGTTGTGAATTTTGAATCGTGTCACTATTATATATACATATCTATATACACATTAGTGATCTTTTATAAATTTTAAAATTAATAACATTTTTTTATATATTTTTAGAATATACATATTGTATTATTCACTTATTATTTAAATTAACTAAATGATTATTAATAATAATATTATATTAATTTATAATATATTAAAAAAAAAACTTAAATTTGATTTCAAAGGCCATTCCTTTATGTTATTTGATTCCTTCTGCCTTTTTCTTGGTCGTCTTCTTCTTTCTATTCCCTCAAACTTTTATAAAACTTCCCCATCACCATTTTTTCTTCCTCTTCCTTTCCTTTTCTTCTTTCTCTTTTTTTTTTTGATCGAAAAAAAAAAAAATTGAGGAGGAATGAGGTGGTAATGAAAGGAAAATATATAGTCACGGATGTGTTTGTTTGGGGTATTGGATTGGATTTACACTATTCATTTTATTTTTTCTCCTCCCCAAAAACATCAAATCAAACACTTATTTTTTATTTTTTATATTATATTAAAAATCAATTTTACATTAAAATATCACATCAACACTTATTTATATCACATCATACGACTATTCAAATTCAAAATTTTTACTATTCAAATCTCAATTCAAAATCCAAACCCAGACAAACACACCCTAAATTCAAAATGGAAAAAGGGTTTCAAAATTTTAAAATTCGGCAAGAACAAAAAAAAAAAATTCAAAATGTAATTATCCAAACCCACTTCACTACAACAAAAATAAAATTTTAAATCATACCGGGCCGGCTCTGCCTCTACTCTAAGAGGGGCCTATATTTTTACTTTTAACTATTATTAAATATATTAAAATTTATTTTTAATTTTTTTTCAAAAAATTTTCAACAATTACCTAATCTAATTTTAATTCTAAAATTAAATTATAACTATAATTTTTCTAAAATTTCATCTTTCTTGTCTTTAAAATTCGTAAATATTTATAAAACTCATAATTATTATTACATATATTAGAATTTAATTTAAATTTTATTTATTTTTACAATTACCCAATCTAAATCTAATTCTAATTCTAAATTTCTAATAAACTCTAAGAATTTTAGTTTTTCTTATTTTATATTCATCGCCTTTAAAATTTATAGTTATTATTATTGAGTTATTGACTTTATAATAGTCAAAATATTATAAAGTTTTATAACAGTCAAAATATGTATCACAAAGTTCACTTTTTCCACGCCAGTCTGCATCCTTTACGAGACACATATTTCATTTATTGTATATATGATTAATATAATTTTTATTTTTGTAAAATTTATTACTATATTATTCGTTGATAATATTTTGAAAAAAAATAAAAATTGTTCATAAAGCCTATCATTTTTGTTTAGAACCCTAAAAAAGTCCAAGACGCCTGAAATCGAAGAAGGCGATGATGAGAGAACAAAGTAAAGAAAAGAAAAAACTACATTTAATAAAACCCCGAGAACAAAGTGAAGAAAGGAAAAAACTACATTTAATAAAACTCTAGAGGGTATTTTCGTGAATTCACACAGTTATATAAAATTTTTTAGTAAATTATAAATAGTCTTGTTTATACTAATAGCATATCAATATTCCTTAAATTACTTTTTTAACACATATTTTACTATTATTCAAATTACTTTTTTCTTTCAAAAATATTAAATCAAATAATTACTTTTTTATATTATATTATTTAATATAAATAGATTTTGCTATAATATTTTAAATACAAAATTAATTTTTAATATAATATAGACAAACACAAGCATAAGAATCCACACAAAAATTTTATGTTATTTTGCATATTATATTTAACAAAAAAAAAATACAGTGGCACATGCATAAAATACATAAAATCAATATCAATAGTACTATATGTCTTCTCTTAAAAATAGCAGACTTAGACACTGTTGACATCCATTCCCCTCTCCTTTTACCCTTTCGTTTTAGGGTTAGGGGAAGCAGCAAACAAACAGAGTCTTTAAAATACAAATACAAATTACAAAGAAACCACCTACCCTACAGCAAACCACACCACTCTGCTCAGCAGCAGCTCACTTTGCATTGAATCAGATGATCGATCATATGAAATTGTTATTCGATTATCATAATACATTAGAGCAGTTGGGAATGCACCCCAAGAGACTACAGTTCTCGCGCGGATCGTATGACGAAAAGAATTCCGGGTCATCCTCCAGAGCCTCTGTGTATCTTTCGAGAATGCCCACGATCTCCACAAACTGCGGCCGCCTGTCCGGATTGCTCGACCAGCAACGGTGAATCAGTCGCCGTATGGCTGCAGGGCACGACGGGGGCAAAGGTGGCCGAGCATTCTGCAAACAATGCACCAGACACGTTTCGCCGTTTGAATAAACAGCTTTTATGAGAATCCAAATCAAATGTCCCGAGATTAGCTGTTTCTTTGTCAAAAAGGTTTAGGCTATGAATAAATCACAATTACATATAGCGACAACATGTGAAATATAAATCTACAGTAGAAAATTAATTTTAGGGTGTGTTTGTTTGGAGGTTTGGATTTTGGATTGGGATTTGAATAGTAAAAATTTTGAATTTGAATAGTTGTATGATGTGATATAAATAGGGTTTGATGTGAAGTTTTGAATGTAAAATTGATTTTTAGTATAATATAAAAAATGAAAAATATGTGTTTGATTTGATGTTTTTGGGGGGAAAAAATTGGATGAATAGTGGAAATCCTCCAAAATCCTTCAAACAAACACACCCTTAAATATAATACAAATCCAGCATATGAACATGCACGACAATAATCCATACAATATATACTAGACTGAATTGTAAAACAAACAAACAGTTCGCATGCTCAGCTCGGTTCGGCTCGTTTGAGCTTATTAAAAGCTCGATCATTAAACTAAACAAGCCGAACCCAAACATAAAATTAGCTCATTAGGTTCACAAACAAACTCAAGCTTATTCGATAGTGATTACTAAAAAATTAAATTAAATTAATATTTTTATATCTATTAAATATATATATCTTTAATTCCAAAATTTAAAAATATTTATTAATAAATCATTATTATTAATTGAATATAAATTTAAATAAGAAAAACCCACTTAATGAGTAGAATCGAACCGAACACAAACAAAAAAATTATTTAACGAATTATGTTTAAGCAAAAATTTCAACTCGTATCTCTTGACAGAAGAAGAACGCAAGTCGAGCTCAAACATAAACAACTCGGCTAAGTTCGGCTCCTATTTAGAGATATGTTCATTCGGCATATCATGTACGTATAAACTATCAACATCCATTTCCAAAATAAGCATATACGATATATAGATAGATAGATAGATACCTTTTGGCAGACTGCAAATGCCGCTTGCTCGGGAGTCATGTCGTCAAATGGTGTCAAAGCCGTTAGAAGTTCCCACAATACAATCCCAAAACTGTAGACGTCGACTTTCTTTGTGTGATGTTTCTCCTTAATCATTTCCGGCGCCATCCAGCGGTATGTACCGGTGAATCCCTTGGCGCTGCCGCATTGAGATTCCAAGCAAGATATCCCGAAATCCGCCACTTTAACGGACATGTCCTCATCGAGCAAAAGGTTCTCGGATTTCAGGTCTCGATGAAGAATCCCTTGGGAATGTAAATATTGCATTCCACGAGCAATGTCCAACGACAGTTTCAGCACTAGTTTAAGGGGAAGCGAATACGGCTCCTGCTGATGAAGGAACTTTCTCAGGGAACCCCCGGGATAGTATTCAGTAATAATGCAGAACACCGGGGGCTTCTTACAAGCAGCTATGAACTACAAGGCATAGAAAAAGACAACATTGACGATTCGAAAACACATCATAGAACACAAAAATCCAATTGCACAATTAGTAGCACACGAAATGGAATCAAATCTTCGACCTAATTTAAACTTATGCCACTTGACAAGCAAGAAATATATACACATGTATATATCATAACGCGAAAATCGAATTGCACAATTAGTACCACACAAAATGAATCAAATCTTCGACCTAATTTGAACTTATGCCACTTTAAAATGAAGGAAAGGAATATTACATGAAGCAAGAAATATATATATATATATAGAACAGGAAAATTGAATTGCACAATTAGTAGCCTGTAAATTGAACACAATGCAGCACACAAAAGTGAATCCAATCTTCGACATAATTTAAACTAATGTAATGCCATTTATGGGTGCTTGAAAATGAGGGCAAGGCAAGTTCTGACAAGCAAGAAATCTATGCATACATACATACATACATACATATATATATATATATACACACAGATGCACAGAATTGATGCTAATGGAGTTTCATCACTGGTTTTTCCCAATTCTTCCTGTAATTGATCAAGATTGAAAGATCCCAAGACGAACAAACAAACCACAAGCAATAGAATGCATTCACACTAGGATCAGCCATGGAAATGGAGACATGTTTGTTTCTTCACCATTAGAAACCTTAAATTGGAGATCAATGGATCCCAATTACAAACCCTAGAAGAAAAAATAAGATCCAAAAACTTACAGAGATGATATTGGGATGCCTTAACCTGAACAGAAGCGCAACCTCAGAGGTGAACTGCTTCTCCAAAAATGCAGCCAAATCGACGTCCTCCTCAGGCTGACTGATGAGCTTAATCGCCACATCTCTCTGCTTGTAAACTCCTCTGTAGATTCTGCTATGTCTTCCCGAAGCAAATTTGTTCCCGATGTACAGCTGCGACATGTCCGCGCTCCATTCCTCCTCTCTCCCACCCTTGATTTTCGCCCCTGAAGAAATTAGGTATTTCGACCATGAAACTGCCCTCCTGTATTCCCCCAAGGACAGCCTCCTCTCCAGCTTGCCATGGGTGCTCGCAATTTGCTTCAGCCACTGGAAATTCTTCATTCCCCAAAACGCGAAAAATCGACTCGAAATGTAACTACTGTGAGCATCAATTTCTCATTTCAATGGCGGATTTGCTACATTGGAAATGGAGGACGCATGAAGAAGAACATCGTTATCAAAGGCATGGATGGATCTGAGGGGGAAAATCGAAATCGAAGGGGAATTGCTCCCAAGATGTGAACAACGCCCAAAATTCAAAAACAGAACAAAATGGAGCTCAATCAATGGCTGCTGTGCAGAATAAAGAAGGTTATCAAATCAATATCATATCAGCGTTGTTGGGAGGAGAGAGAGAGAGAGTGGCAGGTGGTGTCTGGTGGAGGAGTTGAAGAAGGTGTCATGTGGGGAGTTGAAGGGCGTGGCGGTTTGGGGACTCTCATCACATCACAGACACACACACACACACCACTGCTACTGTGTTTCTGGCGCTGCTGCAACTGTGATGAATGTGGGAGAGAGAAAGAGATGCAGTGTGTGAGAGAGAAAGAGATTGATTAATTAATTAATTAATTAATAAATATTAGTAGAGAGAGAAAGAGATGAGAGAGTAAAGATTGATAACGTGCAAAGATCCACTTCTGAGGAGACATGAGGCTGTCTAATGATTATGACTTCTGCCCCCATTTCTCTCTCCTCAATCTTTTGCCATTTGTCTCTCTCTCCTTCTTCTTTCCCATTATGCCCCTATCTTTTCTGCACTCTATTTTCCCATTATACCCTTATTTTACTTTTATTTTACTTCTTTTTGTCTAACTAATTTGTCCATTCCTTCAATTTTATCCAACGAAATACTCTGCGAACTAGAAAAAGTGTCTTATTGATAGTTGGCATAAAAATTAAAAAATAATAAATATTTAATTGAAAGTAGATATAAAGTAGAATATAAATGACTAAAATACCTTTGTTTTTTTGAAGAATTTTAAATAGTATGTTAGAATAATAATTAGGGGTAGTATAAAAAATATGAATAATTTTGTTATAAAGTGGGGACCACGACTACTAAATAAGAAAACGAGACAATTGTTTTGAGACGGACGAAAATGAAAAAACAAAACAAATCTTTTTGGACGGAGGAAATATTACTTTCATTCAATTTTAAAAGTCTCATTTACTTTTTATACGGTAATTTTTAAATATTAATTATTATATCAAAATATAGTACTATTTTTGTTTTAATATAATAGTCTTATTTTCATAAATATATATATTACCATAAATTATCTATATTTTTTCATTATTATTACATAAATGCCACTATTTTTTACACTAATACACTCATAAGAGCAAAAATATCTTTAACTAGTACATTTTACCAACTATTGTGTCAAACCTCAATAAGGCTTTAATTTTGGGACGGAAGGAGTATAAATTAAGAAAAAATTACAAAATACTTATATTAGTGTCTTATAATATTAATAGAAAGACATTTATATAAAAAAAATATAAAAATATAAGGATATTTTTAATGTTAAGTACAATGACGCAAAAGATAAATGTGACTTTAAAGACGAACAGATAAAACATTTTTTTTCCGAAATATAATTATACACTTTAATTGTATTCTAAAATTTATAATATATAATTTTTTATTTTAATTAAATTATTCAATCATCTTAATTTATATTTATTTTTATTAAATTATAATATTTTTATTAAAATACTTTTTAATTAGTACTTACTAATCACATATTGTCTAATATTATATGTCAAGGTAAAGTGAACAAATTAGCTGCGACGGAGGGACTAGTTTTTTATTACACTTTTTGTCTCCGGTATTATATCAATGTTGCTGTAGACAAGAGAATTTAAAAGACTTATAATTAGTAAATAATTAAGAATGTGGTAGTAAAATTAATTAAAATATAATATAAATAATTATAAATTAAAGTTAAGATAAATTATTAATTTAAAAAATTTACAAAATATAATTAAAATATATAATTATTTTTCAAAAAAAATAACATAATACATGAAACGGAAGAAAATAAAAAATATGACATTATACATAGGACTAAAAGAGTATTATTTAAAATATCTTTTGAGTGAACTATGAAAAATTATGCAAAAATATGAATTTTTTATATATAAATTATAAAAAATTGTACAACTAATATAACAATTATGAGTATGTTTAATATATATTAATTTTTTTTAAAAAAATGTGTATTTATTTTTATAAAATAAACAAAGTTTAATATTCTTTTTATTTCAATTCAAAGTATTTTTTATTATTTTTATTTAGTTTACTATTTTCGTCCCATAAGTAAGTATTTATTTATTTTTTGTACGTAGTTTAAGATATATTAATATATAGTATGAATAAAGTAGAAATGATTAAAATAATCTTATTAGTATTGTGTGATATAAAGATAATGACATTTGTGTAATATATTGTAAATTATAAGGGTATTTGTAGTGTTACGTAGATAGTACAATTACTAAAAAAAAAAAAAAGAAATGAATACTTTGTTATGGAACTGACCAAAATGAAAAAATGGGTAGTTTATTATGAGACGGATAGAGTATTTAAAGGTATTTATTTTCTATGTTAATAAAAGTAATTATACATCAATGTCAAAATAATAATATTAATTTTTATTTAAATAATAAATATATCATTACAAATGCAATTATTTATATATAAAGTCAAAAGTGACATGAGACGAACAATATCTGACAGATAAAACTTGAAGAAGTCGGGTTTGAACCCGTGACCGTGATCACAGTCACGAATCCATCTCGACACCAACAGGTCATCCTTTAGAGACTATGAGCGTGTTTGACAAATAGCTTTTTGAAGAATTTTTAACTTATTGAACAACTTTTAGTTGTTTGACCTGTCAAAAAACTAATTTAAGTGTTTGATATATTAGCTTTTTAGATCCAAAAAACTAATTTTTGAAAAGCTAACTTACCGAACGTTTTGAAATAGTTTTTTCTGTAAATATTTTTTATTCCTTATATGCCCTTAAAAATTTATTATGCATTTTACACAAATAAATATATTTTGATTATTTATTAATTATATTAGAATATTTTATTATATTATAGTTTTACTTTTATTTATTTAAAATAATTAATTTTTATATATAAATTATTTTAATTGTAAAATATATAAATTTTTTAAAATCAACATAAAATAAAAAATATAATTAATAACTTATTTTTATATTAAAATTACATTATATAAATTTTATACTAAAGATAAATTATGTAAATTAAATTTATTGAAAACTATAAATATAATGACCTAATCGATAACTAACATAATAAATATATACACAAAAAATTGATTATTTTATATTTTACATCAATTTCAATAGAAAAAACTATTTATATATTTCAATAAAAATATTTTAAGTTTTAAATTTAACTATAATAAAATAAATACTTTTATAACACTTTTACAATTTTCAATAACTAATAACAAAAAATTTCAAACATTCTAAACTCAAAAGAACATAATTGAATATATTAGAAAAAAAATAAAATAGAAATATCCTCAATTGTCATTTTACGTATAAACAACTAATATCAAACAGTTGTTTTACCAAACATTTTAATACAAACGGCTAATTGAATCAGCTAGTCAAACCAGCTAATTGAATCAGCTAACAGCTATCAGCTAATTGAATCAGCTAACAGCTAACATCTATCAGCTAATTGTCAAACACGCCATATATATATATATATTTTGATGTAATGCTATATCCCATTTTAGAAATATTAAATGATATTTTGGACATATTAAAAAATTATATATATTGCATATATTTGAGATAGGTGTAAAATTGGTTTTTAATATAATATAAAAAATAATAATAAAAGTTTGATTTGATATTTTTAAATATTTTTTTTTTAAGAAAATAGAAATCTCTTAAAATTTTTGAAAAATAAGTGTTGGATATTAAATTATTGTAAAAGAAAAAAAAATAGAATATATATTATATCTATTGAAAATTATATTAATAAAATAATAATAATAATAATAATAATTGGATAAATAAACCCTTATTTTTCTCTAACTGATTATAGTAGTATTACTTTTGTCCAAATATGTTTAACATCAAAATTCTGATGAGTCTCATGAATTGTGTTGCTATGAGTTGTGCCCTCTGCTTAAACAATTGTGGATTGGTTTGATTTTTTTTCGACTTTAAAGTTTTAAATAATATTTTGATATACTCTATTTGTTTTAATATAATAGTATTATTTATTATTTTTATCTGTCCCAAAATAATAGTTTCATTGCCATAAATAATAATATTACTATAAAATTATCCTTATTTGTTCATTATTATTACACAATTGTCACTATTTTTTACATTAATATACTCATAAGGGCAAAAAAGTATTTTACCCTTATTTTTTACCCACTGCCAATATATATCAATATTTCTTAAATCTCGTGTCAAATAAAACTCAGACTATAATTTTGGGACGGAAGGAGTAATATTGTATAAAAAATATATTATACTATATATTTTTTATTTAAAAATTAGGGTAAATAAGTAGTTATGATAATTTCAAATAAAATCAAATGTTCTTTTGATTTTTTTATATTAAATACAATGATATATAATATAAAAAATAATATTTTATTTAAATTTTTTATTTTTGGCTTTGGGCTTTTGGAAAGCATACATACATATATACAGTGTATATATTGTACATTCTCTGTTATGCAATAATAATTTATATTAAATTATTAATATTTTAAATAAATAAAAAATATATACAGTGTATATATTGTACATTCTCTGTTATGCAATAATAATTTATATTAAATTATTAATATTTTAAATAAATAAAAAATATATATTATGTTAATATATAGATGTATTTTTATTTTTTATAATATTTATGAGAAATTATGTTATTTTAACATATATGTATTTATATTTTTTATAATATTTATGAGAAATTATGTTATTTAAAAATATAATGTGAACAAATCTATTATATATTGTATATTTTGATAATGTTTTTAAATAATTATATAAAGTGTGTTTTATTTGTATTTCACGCAGATATCAACATTATTTTGTAAATATAATTTTTAATAAAAATATATTATTTATTTTTATAATATATTTGTTGAGTATAAAAAATAATAATAAATAATGGCAGTAGGATTCAGGATGGGTCTGAATATAAGTCAAACGGCCCAAAAGTCGAGCAAAAGAAAGTCAGACAAGGAAGGATGATCGGCCGATACGGAGGTCAGATAGGACAAGGTCGGGCACAAAGATCGGGTGTAATAAGGTCGTGTGTGAAGCCCAGGTATGATAAGGTCGGGTGCGGAGCTCAGAAATGATAAGGTCGGGTGCGGAGCTCAGGAATGATAAGGTCCGGCAAAGCAGAAGTATCGGCAGACGCGGAAGTCTGTCAAGACGAAGGTCGGGCAAAGCAGAAGTATCAGCAGACGCGGAGGTCTGTCAAGACGAAGGTCGGGCAAAGAAGAAGTATCGGCAGACGCGGAGGTCTGTCAAGACGAAGGAGTATGATCGGTTGGTTCGCTGTTAGATGGTCCGTAGTCGGTTGGCCCACGGT